TCAAGATGGCGGCGGTGGAGTAGCAGCGTTCGGGCTACTGAGCCGGGGGCTCATCCACTTCTTTCCACTTTTCTTTTCATTTTTCTTTTTACTTTCACTTTTTTTTTCTTTTCTTTCTTTATAGTCTTTTCTCTTACCTTTTTGCCTCGGTTGGTGGTGGCATTGGCGAGAGTGGGCCCTGCACGGAATGGCAGACAAAGATGGCAGCATAGATCTGGGAAGCGGTCAGGCCGAGTAAATGTTGAAGGAGGAGGCATCTGGTGGCAGCGGCAGCAGCAATGCCAGGACAAGGTGGACACGGCTCCACCCAGCCCAAGGTCTCCTGGAAAGTGAGAAGCAGGTCCTAGGCGAGACCTGACGCCTAATGATGGAGTCGATGATGGCGGTGAGTTTGGTCCCAGAGCAGGACCCTGCGGCAGCAGCGACAGCTGCATCAGCGAGGTTGGTCCAGCGTGAACTAATGGCAGTGGCGTTGGTGGAAGCCCGATGGCGCCGGAGATTGGCGACTCTGTGTTCCAGCGGCGCCAGCACGGTGAAGTGTGGTTGCAGTAGTGTCATCGGTTTAGCAGCAGGAAATTGAGGCATCAGGGTGGAGGACCCTGGATCCAGGCCCATGGCAGAGCTAGTGGTGGGAACTGTTCTGTAGACCACCTAACTTTATTGAGATAAGACTATAAGATGAGACTTATTGTTTTATTTTTCTGGCTTTACATTATGTATTTTGGTTTATTTTCTGTGTTCAAAGTTGGCGCTGGAGAGTGGCAACACTAAACAACACTTTTCACTGTATTTGTACTAAATACATGGGACAATAAATCAAATCAAATCAAATCAAATAATGCCCTTAGGGAGAGAACACCAGGATTTTTACCAAGTAACACTGAAGAAATGGCAATATATTTCCAAGTCAGGATGGTGAGTGGCTTGGAGGGGAACTTGCAGGTGGTGGTGTTCCCATGTATCTGCTACCCTTGTCCTTCTAGATGGAAGTGGTCATGCACTTGGAAGTTGCTGACTGAGGATCTTTCTGCAGCATATCTTAGAATCACAGAATCCGTACAGTGTGAAAGCAGGTCATTCGGCCCATTGAGTCCACACTGAGCCACCGAGGAGCATGCCACCCAGACCTACCCCTACAACCCTGCTTTTTCCCATAGCTAATCCACCTAACCTACACATCCCTGCACACTATGGGTAATTTAATATGACCAATCCACCTAATCTGCACATCTTTGGACTGTGGGAGGAAATTGGAGCACCCGAAGGAAACTCATGTAGACACAGAGAGAATGTGCAAACTCCACACAGACAGTCGCCCGAGGGTGGAACCAAACCCAGGTCCCTGACACTGTAAGGCAGCAGTGCTAACCACTGAGCCACCATGCTGCCCCTTGTAGATGGTACACACTGCTGCTACTGAGCATAGGTGGTGGAGAGAGTGGATGTTTGTGGATGTGGTGCCAATCAAGCGGGCAGCTTTGTCCTGGATGGTGTCAAGCTTCTTGAATGTAGTTAGAGCTGCACTTATCCGGATAAGTGGGGAGTATTCTAACACACTCCTGACTTGTACCTTGTTGAAGATGGACAGGCTTTGGGAGTCAGGAGTGAGTTACTCGCTGCTGTATTCCTAGCCTTTTACTTGTTCTAGTAGCCACCATATTTATATGGTGAGTTCAGTTGAGTTTCTGGTCAATGGTAACCTCCAGGATGACAATAGTGGGGGATTTAGTGATGGTAATACCATGAATGTCAAATGGCAGTGATTAGGTTGTCTGTTATTGGAGATGGTCATTGCCTGGCATTTGAGTGGCACAAATGCTACTTGCCACCTGTTCAGTCAAGTCTGGATATTGTCCAGATCTTTGTTGCTTTGAACACAGACTGCTTCACTATCCAATGATTAACAAATAGTGCTGAAGTTTGTTCAAACATCAGCCAACGTCCCCACTTCTGACCTTATGATTGAGGAAAGGTCATTAATGAAGTAGTTGAAGATGGTGGGGCCTAGGACACTACCCTGAGGAACTCCTGCAGCGATGTCCCGGAGCTGAGATGACTGACCTCCAACAACCATGGCCATCTTTCAATGTGCTGGATATGCATCCAACCAGCAGGGATTTGTCCCCGATACTCATTAATTCCAGTTTTGCTAGGGCTGTTTGATGCCACGTTCGGTTAAATGCAGCCTTAATGTCAAGGGCTGTCAGTCTCACCTTACCTCTGGAATTCAGCTGTTTTGTCCATGTTTGGACCAAGGCTGTAATGAGATCAGGAGCTGAGTGACCCTGGCGGAACCCAAACTGGGCATCACTGAGCAGGTTATTGCTGAGCAGGTGCTGATGCTAGCACTGTTGACAACACCTTCCATTACTTCACTGATGATCGAGAGTAGACTGATGGGGCAGTTATTGGTTAGGTTGGATTTGTCCTGCTTTTTATGTACAGGACATACCGGAACAATTTTCCACATCATCGGGTAGATGTCAGTGTTGTGATTGTACTGAAACAGGTTGGTACGGCAACTGCACTGCCTAAGACTGCAAGAAATTACAGAGAGTTGTGAACGCAGCCCAGTCCATCACAAAACCCAGCCTTCCTTCCGTTGACTCTGTCTACACTTCCTGCTGCCTCAAGAAAGCAGCCAATATAATCTTCGGTTGGGCAACAGATACAAAAGTTTGAAAACACGTACCAACAGATTCAAGAACAGCTTCTTCCCCGCTGTTAACAGACTTATAAATGGACCTTTCATATATTAGAGTTAATTTTTCTCTGCACCTTCCCTGTAGCTGTAACACCATATTCTGCATTTTTGCCCATTATTCTGATGTATATATGTAAGCTATGATTCATCTGGTTAGCATGCAAAACAATACTTTTCACTGCATCTTGGTATGTGATAATAATAAATCAAATCAAACATTGTTTCATCAACTTCTTCAAGGTAGATTGTAGAGAGCTAATGCTGCTTGAGATGGCACTGGAAGAAGAGTCCTTTTTATCAGTTATGCTGATGAACTGCTTGGCAGACCTTCTAATGCCTTGCAAAACTTTTTGTTTTCAAGTCAAGGTTTTTGCATTTCTATTCTGTTTGGTAAACTGGGAGAAGAATTTTCCGATTGACAATTTCCTGGCTTGTCCCTGCCATCAGTATCTCTATATGCTGATGGATTCTGGGTACATTAGCATGCACAGGCTTCTCTAATTCACAATCTCAATTACAAAAGGAACCAGCCTCTGTGATGAAGCATGGGAAAAAGTGAAACATATTATGGTCTATTCACCAGATGACTGTCTTCCTCTCTGGTTTCATTGTCTTGTCAGATATTAATAGAGAAAAGGGACAAAAGGTTACATGGATGGATGGGCAAATATTCATTAGACACAGCTTTGCCACTGCAGCTTGAGGGGACCATCAAGTAGGTATTGCACCTCCAGTCTTACACTTCTCCCATCTGTACGCCATCTTCTTGAAAGAAAGAGATGGTGAAAATTAGTGTGTTTCACACGTAAGGAAAAGTGCATGAGATTTCTGCTAGATCAGCCACTGAGATGCCAAAAGATGTTGAGTGGAAAGCAAGCAGGTGAAGTGAGTAAAAAGTCCTTGATCCTACAAAGGTTGTCCCATGAGAGTAGAGTGCTTTTGGTGACTGTTGTTGAGAATGAGAGTTATTAAATTATTTGCATGTGATGGAGCGAGAGAATCTGAAATGCTGAGAGATAGGACTAGGAAATATTGTTGCCAGGTATCATTGAGATAAAAAGAAATACCATTGCAGCTCTTATGAGGATGTTGAACATTTCCTGTATGCAGGTCCTGGGAATGATACTTTGAGACTGTACGATGCCCTTGGCCTCCTTCCAAGCTTGTTTGATGTCTCATGGCAACGTTGCATGTTTGTGTCATTCCAGGCTGGGTGTGAGTCAGATACCAGATTCATTATGCTGCTCTGTAGTCATCTAGTGTGCCCACTGGAAGCGGAACAAAGACCCATTGTGTAAGAAAAGAGTAGAAGATGATTTGAGCCTCCTATACAATATCGATTCCTAGCTGACTACAGTAGAATTATGCTTGTTACAGTCACTTTTTAGACAGTAAGACAATAAGTAATAGGAGCAGAATCAGGCCATTAGGCCCTCGGAGTCTGCTCTGCCATTCAATCATGGCTGATATGTTTCACAACCCTATCTTCCTGCCTTTTCCTCCACCTGTAACCCTTGATCTCTTACCAATCAAGAATCTATCTATATTTGTCTTAAAGACAGACAAAGACTTGGCCTCTTTTCTCAGAGTGAATGTCCCAAGAAAGGACAGCTGGTGGCTGCTGCCAACACAGAAACATTTTTGAGATGATCTGAATCTGGACGAGTTGGGGGTGGGGGTTGCAGTAAGAGATGGTGGGTAATGTGTAGTGCTAAGGCTCTACATCAAAATTAAAACTGCAGCCAATTCCTATTAGCCCCTCCCATTGTTCTTCACCATCAATGGGTCCAATTCTCTCTGTTACCTTCAGGAACAGTGCACCAGACTGCAGGGTGTCACTTATCTCAGAATATCTGTCCTGTTCTGATGAGGCCAGCAACAGTTTTGAATGGAGCCCATCAGCATCAGTTTAGTGCAATTGCTCTTGGCCAGGAGGGGTTCATACCTGATTTTAGGAGATTTCTGTTTACTGGGTTCTAACTTTTAAAAAAAAATTTACCCTAAATATTTGGTTTCTGGCTCCTGTAATTACACCGTCAGTTTTCCAGGACTTGCTAATGGTCAAAATTCTTTGCTTTGACATCAATCAGATGATAGAATCCCTGGTGGCTTGTCTTTTCAAAACAAGCTCGTCTTCTTTTTGTTTTATTTAAGCGAAATTTCAATTAGTCACAGACTGTCTCAAGAGTAAATTGCCTCTTTAACAGTCTCCTCCAGAGATCCCAGTAATGGATTTCAGCCTCAGGGGGCTGGTCTGGGTCTTAAAATATGAATTTCATTGAAGAGTGAAGTCGGCATGCTGGCCAGCCCCCATCTGCTTACTGAACTGCTGCTTGAACACACGCAGCTCAGCTGGTATGGATGTGCGTGATGCATTTTTGGCTGGTATGCTGCTTTCGCCTCCTACCTCGGTCACTTATTTCAGAGATCTTTGTAAGACTGTAGCTGGGTTTTTTTTTACACGACATCTTCTTGCAGTTGTGATTTGACCAGTGAAGCAGGAGGGGAAAAGAAAAACACTGAACTGTTACAGGATGTGGTTTTTTTACTGAACACGCAGCAATGAAGATTAAGATTTTTGATGCATGACGTTTTGAACAGCAAAAGGAAGTCAACGGACAAATTTGGACCCCAAAATTTCAATTGTAAAATTTGTGTAAGAATCAGGCGAGTTTCGCGTATGGCTCAATTTCCCCGTGTACTTATTGGGGCAGCTTGATGTGCTTTGTTGCACTCAGCATTTTTGAGTTAGTTCTTGCTCGTAAAGCTTATCCAAGTTCCCTTCGGGGATCTGTAACTTCCTTCCCTGAGATGAGAGTATCTTTAATTGTGGCCGTATTTTGATTGCTTACAATTCTTGGAAGGGGGCTGCTGATTTCTTTGAAACAATTTTTGGCAGATTTTCTCAGGTAAGTTCATAAAGAAAAATTATTTGTGTTTGACGGTGTGTGTGTGTGTTATTGTTTAAAAGCAGCTGTGTTCTGTACGTTAGTGGTTCTTGTATGAAAAGTGCAATAGTACTGCTGCAATGTAAACAGAATTTTGTATGGACTTCAGAATATGATCCTCCTTTTTCATCCTTTGTTGCTTCCTTTGATTACATACCACAGGAAATGTGTTACACTGTAAGTGTGAAACTGATAAAGTGCTCGCTCTTTTAACTGTTTATGGACCAACAAAGTCCACAAATGTCTGAAAAAATAAACGTGGTCTGAAAAGCATTGTCTTCCGATATTAAATTTTGTTACCCATGAATAACGAAGGAAGTGTGATCTCTTTATAAAGTTAGAACGTAAAATTTAAATGATCATGTTTTTAAACATGGAATAAAGGGAGTTTCAGTTTTGAAATAGTAAAAGATTCTGTATGGGTAGTTCTGCTTTCATAAGTAATTTTGTACAAGTTTAACGCATATGGAATTACTTTGATTCCTTTGACACCATGAGCATACAATTGCGGTGTAAGTTAAACAAAAATTCAGCTGAACTTAACTGTTCGAGTGCATTTAATGGCTTGTCCCTAAACTTCCTAAAATACATTCAGCAAGGACAGCATGGTTGTAATTTCTTAAAAATGGACTATTTTACAAGGCTGCTGTTTTATTTGTTAAAGACAGCACTATACTGAAGGCTAATCTTAACAGACTCTGACAAAGAATGCTTTGATCATAATTAATTGAAAACTAAAACTAAAACCAACAATGTAGCTAATGATGAAACATTGTTACAGAGAGCTCTGTGCATCTCAGAGTGAGGATTCCACTCTTTAAAACGGTAAAAATACATTTGATGCCTTTTATGTAAACTGCCGTTTGGATATCTGATTAAAAAAAAAGTGTCCCCTCTTAAGTTAGAAAAACCAACACCAACACATTGAAAACTGACCTTACATAAGTAAGATGACTTCTGAGGGTGGTATGAATTCCTATTTACGTCTTGTAATCTGATAAATGTAAGCAAAAATTGACCAAAATGCCAATCTAATATGGGATTAGAGAACTGTGATCAGTCACTGAACATAATCATAACATTCTTTGCAAGTTAATCTTAAGGAAAAAATAAAGGATACAAAAATAATTATTACAAGCTGCTGTTTATGAAAAACAATTGGACAATTTTCAGCAAACATAACAGACTCAGTGCAGTCACCCATTGGATTGTTTTTATTATGTTCACCATAAATATTCCATAGCAAACCATTGAATCTATTATCAGGTTTCTATCACGACCTACCAGGCAACAAAATCAACACAAAACACTAATGTGAAGGCAGATTTAACTTCATTCGCCTGCCAATTCCACTTTAATTCTCCCAGGTTACTTGTCTGTGGAAAGACCTGCCAGATCCTGCTCCTCATTTCAAATGAGATATTGTGCCCCCCAAGGCTGCGAGGTTTGTACCACCTTACAAAGAAGGAACTGAAGCAGCCCATTCAGCCCCTCGGGTCTGCTCTGCCGTTCAACAAGATCTTGACTGATCTAATTGCAACCTCAAATTCACTTTCCCACCGATTCCCGATAACCTCTGATACTCTGCCTTAAAAATATTCAAGGACTCTGCTGCACAACCTTTTTAAGAAGAGAGTTCCAAAACCTCATGATCCTCTGAGAGAAAAAGAATGCCAAATTTCTGTTCCAAATGGGCAAACAGATTTTTAAACCGTGATCTCTAGTTCTGGACTCTCCCACAGGAGGAAACATTTCATCACCTCAACCCTGTTAAGACCCTCAGGATTTTATATTTCAATCAAGCCATTCCTTACTGTTCTAAATTCTAATGGATCAAGCCCAGCCTTTCATCATAAGATCACCCACCCGTTCCAGGTATTAGTATGGTAAACCTGCTCTGAACTGTTTCCAATTCATGGATATCCTTCCTTAAATAAGGAGATCAATACTACACACAGTTATAATTCGTATTTATTGATCAGGGAATAAATATGTAATTAGAATGCAAACTTCAATTTAAATTTCTGTCTGAGGCAGGATACCTTCCCACTGGTTGAAAACCTGTGGGAAGAGGCTGGGAAACAGAAATCCCTTTGTGGGACCAGGTGGAACAGGAATGTGACATGTTCATGTGGTCATGTAGGAACATGCAATTATAATTCATTCCTATTCATTCCACACTCAAATTGTGTCAGAGTGCCTCAGCTTAATTTTCCCTTTCTTTACTTCATAATAACTCTTGATACTCTTACCTAAAAAGACTATCAATATGAAAACTACTCAGCTTTTTAGGGGAAAGAATTCCAGATTTCCTCTACCCTTTGTGTGCAAAATTACTGTCTGATTTTACTGCTGAGTGACTTAACCTTAACTTTAAGATCTGGTTCTAGCTTCTCCCCTCAGAGGAAATAGTTCCCTTTTATCTATTATATCGAATGCTGTCTCCCTTTTCAGCAGCCTACTCGAATCACCTTTCGACCTTTCAGATATTTTTACACAACCTGTTGAGATATGATATAACACACCTCTGGAGCAGGTGGGATTTGAACACTCCACCACAAGAACCTATAATATGGCGGATAGTCACTGTTGAGACTTGGATTCAAATCGTGGTTTCCATGGCAACAACATCAAATACCAACCACTGTAGGATCACAGTACCACTTGACATGAAGTTTTTTTTCAAACTTTTATTTTTTAATCAACTTGCTTGGAGATATTATGACACACCTCTGGAGCAGGTGGGACTTGAATCTAGGCCTCCTGGCTCAGAGGTACAGACACTGCCACTCTACCATAAGAACTCTCACCTCAGTGTTTTATGCTTAAGGAAATCCAGGCCAATTTTATGCAACCTGTTTCAACAATGAAACTCTTCCTGGTGAAAATTGCTGCAGGAGACTGGAAAATTAACCAACAGGCAGTAAAAATCCTACTTGCCTTCCTTTAGCCACTCAGAATACAGAAATAAATTTTAAAATATTTCTTCTTGTTCATAAGATTGTTTCCTGTGATAAGTGACTTGTTCTATGAGTAGAGATTATGTAGAATGGGTCTATAGCCTATGAAGTTTAGTAGAAAAAGAGGTGATCTGATTGAAACATGTCAGACTCAGAGAGATCTTGAAAGAACACTTGCCGAGAGCTATTTCCCTTGTTAGAGGGTCTAGAGCAAAGGGACAAGGGCTGGATTTTATGGGCTGACAGTGGGTGGGAAAGCAGACAAGTGGACCCATAAAATGGGGTGCTATGCCATGGAGGATGTGCCCACCCCACCCAATATAACATGGATTAGGATTGGCATCAGTTGCTTTTCCATAGTTCAGTTGAGACCCTTAAGTGGGCAATTAATGCCCTTAAATGGCTTATTCTGTCACTGCACAGATGGCCTGTGCCAATGTGCAGCCTGGCAGATTTGGCGTTGCAGGCCATTGGCCAATGAAAGATGGGTCATTGCTTCTTTCCTGTGTCTGTGGTGCCAAATATGCACCTCCACCATCCCAACCCATCGTCAAAGCCTTCCAAACCTGAAACAGGTTTCCAGTGCATTACTGAATGCCTCCTCAATTTTTTATTAATTCATGTACAGGAGCTGGGTGTTGCTGGCTAGGCCAACATTTATTGCCCATTCCTAATTGCCCAGAGGACAGTTAAGACTTAGTTACATTGCTGTGTGGTTGGAGTCACATAAGGATGATGGTTTCCTTCCCTAAAAGACATTAGTGAACCTGATAAGTTTTCCCAACAATGGTTTCACTGTCAGTACTAGATTCGTAATTCCCGATTTTTATTGAATTCAGATTCTGCCATCTGCTAGAGCAGGGCTTAAATCTGGTTCTCCAGAACATTACCTGGGTCTCTGGATTCATAGTCTAATGATAATACCACGAGGTTATTACCTCCCCTGTCATTAGTGCAGTACCAGCAGTGTCCATTGCTCCTGGTGGTGCTGCTGGTACTAGAGAGCTGTGGATGCTGAAAGGCCTGGATTTCCACCTGGATGGGGGCAAATGTCCCACCTCATAATAATTAAAGGATCATTGGCTAAAATATTGAAGGCAATGGGCCAGCCAAGTAGAGGGAGGCTAATAGTTGTGCTGGAATGAGTGGAGGCCCACTTTCAATGTGTCATCAAGCCCATGATCTCAGGATAAGGAAACAATGATTTTGAACTGAATTTAGGGGAAAATCTTTCACTCAAATGGTTGTAAATCTTTGGAATTCTCTGCCCGCGAATGTTGCAGGTGTTCAGTTCCAGGCTATATTCTCAGGAGGTTCCGGTGTTGGACTGGGCTGGACTAGATCAGAAATCACACGACACCAGGTTATATTCCAACAGGTTTATTTGAAAACACAAGCTTTCAGAACCTCGCCCCTTTGAAAGGTTGTGTTTTCAAATAAACCTGTTGGACTATAACCTGGTGCCATGTGATTTCTAAGTATGTTCATGGCTGAGAGGATAGATTTTTGAACGTTAAGGAAATCAAGGGATGTGGAAATTGGGCAGGAATATGGAGTTGAGGTTTGAGTATCAGCCATGATTTTAGGAAATAGCAGTGCAAGCCAGAGGGTCCCAATGATCTTCTCCTGCTCCTGTTTCTTATGTTCTTAGATATTTCAGGCAAAAAGACTCTTGAATTGTGTTGAGTTTTATCCTGGTTTGTGTCAACTGTTCAAGACTATTTCCTGCTTCATGCCACCAAAGAAGTGAGTTTTCAAATTCTCTCATCATAATTTCTTTTGGAACTCTAAAGCAAAAATTGAGAACAGTACAAAATTATAAAACTTTGTTTGCAGCACCTCATAGGTTAATCAGAGTCTCCATTGTCAATAATGTGACTCAGAAGTGCAGACTTGAGGAATTAAAACACAGACTGCATGTTTGGTTTTCAGATGAGCATAAATTCATTCTTCCTGTTCCAGTTTTATCACTACGTAATTAGTATTCATTCCAACCACATATAATTTTACTAGCAGCCTTTTTGTTAAATAGGAATTGCCATTGGCAATGGAAACAGAAGATGTTGGAAATGTCAGTATCTGTAAAGATCTTGGGTAAAAATCTCTAGTACATTCTAGTGTTGTTCTATATTCACATTAGCTATTTGACTTTTACAGACTAGCAATGATATAAAATATACCGAGATGGAAGAAACAAATCACCCATCAAAAGATCAACCTTCAGTTTTACGAATGAAGAAGAATGTGCTCGATAAAGAAATTCTATTTTAAAGCAATCAGTTGGTAAATAGTTGTGTGCCAAGTAATGTGATCATTTATCAGAAACAGTATAGGAAATTATAGCCATTGTAACCTTTAATTAGTGAAGTGCAATGAAACAGTATAGACAGTTAAAACAGAACACCCAATGTGAAAAACCTCTTGCATTGTTAATGTTGCTAAATATTTCTACGTCTGCATCTGTGTTGCTAAGGACAAAATCTACTGAACAGGCTGAATTTGACATCTTTGATGAATACGATTCATCCCTTTTGTGAACCATTTATTTGATTATGATTTATTAAGTACCCCTGAGGCATCTGAAGGTGTCATTTAATACTGCTCTACTTTGATCCTGTCACTTTCTGCCCTTTTCTATTTTGAATTAGCATCTGCCAAAATGGGTTGTGGCCTACCAAAGCTGGAGAAGTCGAATGAAAACAGTCCAGGCAAAATCTATTCAACTCTTAAACGACCACAAGTGGAAACTAAAGTAGGAATAGCCTATCAGTATAAGGTCCTGGACTTCACCACAGCTGAGACAGGTAAGTTATGGTCACGCTTTCTAATCATATTATTGGAATTTAAAACAATTGATTCTGATCACTTGTCCAATTATGTTAATGTCAAAGAAATATTGTAACAGTGACCGATACTCACTGAGTATTTTCACAACTGATGTAACTGCCTGTCTAAGTAAAGGAGCGGTAGAACACTTGTCTCACACCATTGTCCTTCAAGCTGTTTGTGGTGGTTACACTATCCACTATCACATAGTCACACACTGGATGAATTTGAACACCGCAGTATAGATGAGAGAGGACTGAAAGGGGTGGTTACATATTCAAAAATAATGAACTCAACACCAACCCACTTCCAATCTGCCTGCCTCTTGTTTCAACAGAGTAGATTGAGTCAGGCAACTAACTGGAAGTGGGCACACCATTCAAATACTTTAATGAGCCAGCATGCCGCCACATTTAGCTCTGCATTAAATATAGTTGCTGCGGGTTGTGCTCCTCAGGGCTTGATACACCCAGCAGCTGAAGGAAGACGAGAACAGCCAGATGTAACAGTTTAGTGCCTGTCTGACTCAGTTTGTGGTGCTTTCCCCCAGCTCGCCACACCAAACAAACTACAGCCCACAATTTGAAGCCCTCAGTTAGGTTCCCCAACTTTCTAGCCCCTCCTGACTCCACCACATACTGTATCTCTCCATTTACTGTCCCTGCGGTCTATCCATGACGACTGACCCTCCCACCATCTCCTGCTGTCACTCTCCTTTCGGTCTATCCATTGTTTCCAACAGGCCCCTGAAGGTCTATTGACAGACCACTTCCTTCCCTGCAGCTTCTCTGGGCCATCTATAAACCCCCTATGATTTATCCACAATACTGTCCCCCAATAAGGGGATCTGAATAACACCCTATACTGATGTTGTTATCCAAATCTAATCTATCCACTTCCCACCCAATCTCACCAGCCCTCACACAATCTATCCATTTGTTCCCCACTATTCCATATCTGTTGGCCATCCCTTAAGCTAATAGAATTCCTCTTATCTCACAATCTGTTAGCACACTCCTGCCTACAATCTATCTAGTAATACCATAGCCATACATAGCTCAGTTAGCTGGACAGCTGGTTTATGATCCAGAATGATGCCAACAGCATGGGTTCAATTCCTACACCAGCTGAAGTTACCATGAAAGACTTAACTTCATCCTTTGCTTGAGATGTGGTTGGCCGTCAGGTTAAATCACCATGAGTGCTGTCTCTCTGTAATGAGATTGTGGCCTTGTGGGACAGTGGTGGATTTACCTTTTATTCTCCACCCTGATCTGTTTATCCACCTCCCGGTCTATCCACAATCCTCTCCAAAAGTCATTCCCATGGATGACCCTCACCATATCCCCGTTTACTCATATCCTCCCTCCCCATTGTTCTCTGTCTGCGGCCGGATGTGCATGTCTTCCTACCAGCAACAGTCTGGCTTCTACTATGTCTTTATTGAACTGGTTGCAAGGTGCCTGCAGCAACTGCTTCATGGTCAAGGCCACATGAGTACAGCAAGCCAGGAGCACCTTAGTACAATATTGCATTTCTATCTCAAAAACCACCTGATCACCAACCAAACTCTCAATCAATGGAATCAAAAGATTAAAATAAAACCCTGTGACTTTTTTTTCTGACCAAATTCTGTAGGAAACCTATACTTCCAGGTTTTACAGCTGCTACAATTTCAGTACCCACCGTTGACTCTCTGCCTCCCCATAAACACAAGAGAGATTGAGGGGGAGACAGCATCCAGGAAACATGGAGATGGGAACAAATATTCATTTCACACCATTTAGAAAAGAATGTGATGTCTTTGTGATTCATTCTTATTATGAAAACTCTCAATGTCCCAGTTGATTGAACAACAAGCCAAGCCAACCAAATTAAATCTGAGACATCTAAGCCATTTGGATGGAGAGCAATCACATTTGGAGAACAAAAATCCTAATGTGCTATTTCAATTTCCAAGTCAGTGAACAGAATTCCTCTCCTGTGATAATATTGTTACCAATCACTATCTGTAATGAACCAGACTATCCCTCATATATCACAACATAAAGATTTGAACAAAATGTAATATTTAGCAAATCAGGTCTATTCCTATTAATAAATAGAGCCAGTTTCTTCCATCTTAAGCTCCATTCGATTGCTTTAATTTCATCCCAAAAAACCATGTGGCAGACCTTGAATTAGAAAAAAATCTCTGCTCATTCTTTTGCCAACCTGCTAGATAATAAATCAAAACTCTAGGCCATTGATGCAAAATTGGAACCAACGTAAGTCAGTGCTGACAGCTGGATTCTACAAATGACATTTTCTGAATCTCTCAAGCACACAAAACAACATGTTTTATACAGTAAAAGCAGAACACTGTGGATGCTGGAAATCTAAAACAAGCGCAGAGAATGCTAAAGAAACTCAACAGGTCTGGCAACATCTGTGAGGAGAGAAATAGAGTTAACATTCCGAGTCCAGTCTGATCAGAGTTCTGAAGAAAAGTCAGACTGGACTCGAAACCTTAACCTGTTTCTCTCTCCACAGATGCTGCCAGACACGTTGAGTTTCTCCAGCAATTTCTCTTTTTAGGTCACAGATAATACTTGGTCATGTATTATCATGTTTTAGCATCTAAGCCTGAAATCCATTCTTACCTAACTATATCATGTGGATACCAGTCTTCAGCCAATTCGATTCACTCCACACGATGTCAAGAAATGGTTAGAGGTGTTGGATACTGCAAAGGCTACAGGCCCTGACAACATTCCAGTTATAGTACTAAAGACTTGTGCTTCATAACTTGCCATACCCTTAGCTAAGCTGTTCCAGATCAGTCACAACACTGGCACCAATGTATAAAACAGCACAGGTATGTCCTGGAAAGCAGGGAGGTGCACAGCAAACAGGGAACCAATGCATTAGATTGGCTAGGGATCAGGGACCGCACAGGTCTATGTTCTGTACAGTTCATTGGTCTGTGTTTAAAGTTCTTTCACTTTGAAGGGCCTTACATCAGAGGGTCTTGCAGACACCCCACCTTCACCACTCTGACTTTCATGTTGAGAATTCTGGACATAGGGTTGGTGCAACATATTTCATAAGCTAGAATGCTAAATGTTGCTGTGACAAAGTGAGGCATTTAACATGCAATAACTCTCATTGGCAACTTGCTGTTGCTGAGCAATAAATTTGCCACACCATTCAGCAAAAACACAAAAGTTAAACCTGACATTGAGATAAGTCTCACTTCACCTCACACACAATCCTAACATAATTGTGTTAATTATACAACGCAGTTGTATCAAAAAGCATATACAGGGAAGATTCTGAGTGTATCCCAGAATTCCACAAAATATTGCGAGTCAAAATAATACTAAATATTTTTGGTTAGATTCTGCTTTGTACTTTATTTGTTTTGTGGGTCAAAAATCCCTTCTGACCTCATGTAGAGCCAGTTACTTTTAGATTCAGACTTTTTGCCTTCCTGCTCAGTTTGAACATTTCATTTTGACGTCAAGGTGCAGAGCTGGATGAACACAGCGGGCCAAGCAGCATCGTAGGAGCAGGAAGGCTGACGTTTTGGGCCTAGACCTTTCATTTTCTGATGTCAGCCTTCCTGCTCCTACGATGCTGCTTGCCCTGCTGTGGTCATCCAGCTCTGCACCTTGTTGTCTCAGATTCTCCAGCATCTGCAGTTCCTACTATCTCTAATACACTTTTAACCCCACTGCGAAGCCTCTTCTAAGGATGCCTAGCCTGAAGAAGTTACCCTCCTCCCTCCATTTTCTGATGTAAGGTCTAGGCCCGAAACGTCAGCCTTCCTGCTCCTCTGATGCTGCTTGGCCTGCTGTGTTCATCCAGCTCTGTGCCTTGTTGTCTCAGATTCTCCAGCATCTGCAGTTCCTACTATCTCTCATTTTGACATCAGTTTTGTCCCTTAAAAGGTGACAAATAGGAGCAAGATTAAATAATACAGCCTTTCAAAAATGCTTGCCCATTGAGTAAGATCGTGGCTGAAAATGTTTCAATTCCACTTTCGTGTCCTAAATTCATATCCTTTAATTTTCTTCAGTTCTCAAATGTCAGTTGATCTTCATTTTAAATAAACACTGACTAAGCATGGAGATTTTCAATGATTCACAACTCAAGAAATTTCTGTCAGCTCAGTCCGAAATAGATGACCCCTTATCCTCAGATTATGAGTGTCCATTCTAGACTCTCCTGCTGGGAAAACAGTGAGCAGGAATTTTCCTGCAGGCTTCTGATCCCTCTGCCTTCCCCATCCCCTCCTCCCAGTCAGACTCTGAGTCAGGAGCCCACGCTGTGTAAGAAACAGTCACTTGTTATGATTGGCCTTGAGTCACCAATTAGTAGGGGAGGTCATGCTCACTCTATACATGAGGCTGGCAGGAGAGCTCTCGAATCTGCAAGGCCACTCACAAGCTTACCAGCTCAAAAGGAACTGGAAGCAGTGATGGAGAGTAAGCAAGTGACAGGTGGCTTGGGGGGGGTCTTCAAGATAGAGGCACCCTCTCTCCAGCACTTTTTAAAGTTTAAACTGAAAAAACAACTTTTGCAGTGAGGCAAAGTCTGTGTAGGGGCTGGGGGAGGTGGCGGCAGATTGAGGCAGAGATTGTTGTGTTGAGGCAAGCAGGGAGGGCCTTGGGGACCTGCCTGGCTTCTATACCCTACAGCCCCCACCCCTGCACTGCCATAAGAGAACAGTTAAAATGGTGCCTGCCACACATGGAGACCGGCAGGCTAATTGGAAAATTCCTGTATTGCTAATAATATACCCACTGAGGTATGTGTGCACAAACCATTGAAGGTGGCAGGGCAGTTCGTGAAAATGGTCATAGTAGCAATTGAGATCCTGGGCTTTATAAATAGACAGTACAAAAGCACAGAAATTATAATAAAATTTGGTTCAATCCAAACTAGGGAATTGTGTCAATATTAGTCACTGCATTTTAGGAAGGATATGAATGTT